CTTTCCTCGAAAAGAGAGACAAACGAGAGCGGAGCTTTTCCGTTGGAAAGAAACGCTCGCAGTGCACGCCGATTGCCCCCTCGGAGACATCGCGTGCGTGCTCTTCGCCCAAACAAATAACGCATAGATCGTGTGTGTCATCAGATGTTAAACAACGACAACATGGATGCTCACATCCTCTAAACGCTCTGCTAGTGCTCGCCATAATGATATGAAAGAGATCGCTCTTACCACAGAAATGCACGCTTCAAACAAAACAGTCAATGAAGACGAAGAAGAGAATGATGTGTGCTCCCGGCGCCTATTTATACTATAGTCGCACCGGTAGTGACGTCATGGCTGTTGCCGGCCAACGTGTTGTTGGTGTTTTTTCAATGTATGCTTCAGACACGGGTCACGACAAGGCGTTCCCCATAGCGACCCCTAGAGGACGCAGTTCGAAGTTCCCATGAAAGGGAACTGTTGAGCGCCTCTAATGAATCCACGTTTTTGAACGAATCAAGTGAGTCAGTGATTCTTTGACTTATTCATAAAGACAGTCACTTGCTTTATTTCTGAATGAATCAGCTGTTTGAACGAATTGAATGAGGTAACGATTCAGTGACATTCACTTGCAGCATTGTTTGTAAAAATAAATCTGAATCTGAAACATTATGATAAAGCAGCATCAGAATGTTTTGATTGATTGTAATCGCATGCATAAAAACAGCAGTGTAGTGATTTTTTTCAATTTTCAGCGGTTTCATGCCTTTAAAGTTGGGTCTTATCCGTGCGTCGTAACCTGACGTTCTGCCCATCAGTTTGTCCAGGAAATCAGAGGGAGACATCGCAGATGAAGATTCACGTCCCGTTATTCTCTCGTACTCTTTTCCTGCCGTTATCCTGAGACACAATAAATATCACAAACCATTCACTTATTTTGGAAACTCACTCTTAATGTTCTTTATGGTTATCATTATTTTTATAGGCATAAACTAACGTTCCCGGAATGTTACCACAACTGTTTTTGGTAATGTTATAAAATAAGAAAACTGCTTAGCAAATTAACATCTCTAGAATAGAATTAAGTAGAACTAAATGTATTTATCATAAAAAAAATCTCTTTTTTTATTTTATATCAATGCACTTGAGGCTCTTTGTACTAGAGAATGAACTGAGGCAATAGAGCGGGGCTAGTTGTCACACTTTTACTCCACTGAATATCGTCTGAATGTCCACTTCTGTATAGACACAAACCAATATGAACTACAAACCAGTTATTTATCATGTCTACCTTTGTTGTTCAGAAACTGAGATACAGTTCATTTAACACAATTTGACCCTCATTGCGGGGCATGTTGTCAACTATTGACGACACAAATAAAAGAAACAGCAAAAATGTCATATCACAATTAATGAAATATGTGGCAGTTTCAGTTCATTACTTTGTAGTGATTTTTGTCTTCATGTAAGTCAGTGAGGTTTTATTTTGTCTACTTATTAACCAATATACGTTACACAAATATGACACTGCATGATACAGAATTCACACAAATATTCTAGATATTGAAGTAGATATTCAGAAGTCAACAGAGCAATGCTATTTGTGCACTTCTGACTAAACCCCTCAGTTACTGAGATATTGACCTTGCGTTGTGACAACGAACCCCAGCTTCCTCTACCTATAGAATCACACAAATAGAATGGAATCTTCATTGATCATGACAACGCGCGTCACAAGAGAACGATCAGAGACGCTCCTCGCGCTTTTGCGTTTCATAAACGTCCTTGTATTACTAACATTGAGCTGTTTCGAAGCCTAAGCAGCTGTTGCTTTAACAGCCAAAGAAGTGAAGCACGTACCTGAAGTTGTGCATTTCTATCAAGCACGCGAGTAAAGTTGTGAGGAGTTTTACAGAAGGGCGAGTCATTCCTCTGGCCATGGGCTCAGAAACGCGCCCTGAACGTTTTATTCCGAGCTAAAACACAGCCGGAGGATTCCGCAGGTGAAGCCACTTCAGCCCAGAATCTCATGGTTCGTATGTGTGGAAGGAACGACACCGACACGCCGCGGGTCCGCTGTTACGCGTCCCCAACGCGTCTAAAATCATTCTGCGCTCGAATCAGACGCAGCGGGAACGGAACGAGGCAGTCCTGTCTGTCGTTAAACGGTGTATTTTCAGAGTGAGACGCGTCTGTCACCGCTGGAGAAGCTCTTCTGATGACAGACGCTGGGTTGTGCGCTGGGTTCAGCACTTGGACAGCTCCGCGCCTCTCTGTGCGCATGCGCAACAAATCCGAAGTGGCGGATCGTCATCGGATTCTTAATCTGAAATGTTGATTAGGGAGTTTTTAAGAATTAACCACCGAATTAAGTCTCGGTTAAATTAAGGCTTGTACCCTCCACCCCATGAAGTAGCCTAACTCAAAACAATATGTTTGTTTTAAAAGTATGTAGACATATTCTTCCATGCATTCTGGTAGGGCTTTCAAATAAGATTCCGACATAACCAAAAACGTTACATTACATCAAAATGTGCGCAAAACAGACGCTCTCGAAATGAATTCCCGTTCGCTGATGCGGTAACCATAGCAACCCGAGCGATTTCTGTTTTGGATCGGACGTAAAATCGAAGTACTGTAATTTTTGTATTATTTATATTTTATATTATTGCAACATCACAAATACATCACAATAACATTTCGACATAACCAAAAATATTAAATTACATCAAAATGTGCGCAAAATAGATGCTCGCGAACAGAATTTGTGTTTGACAACGCGGTAACCATAGCAACCCGAACGATTTCTGTTTTGGATCGGACGTAAAATCGAAGTATTGTAATTTTGTTTTTATTATACACATAATTTATTTAATTGTTTTTTTTCTTTTTATTATACACATTTAATTTAATTTGTTATATTATTTAAACATCACAAATACATCACAATAACATTTCGACATAACCAAAAATGTTACATTACATCAAAATGTGCGCAAAACAGATGCTCGCGAACAGAATTTGCGTTGGCCAATGCGGTAACCATAGCAACCGAGCGATTTCTGTTTTGGATCGGACGTAAAATCGAAGTACTGTAATTTCTTTATTATTTATATTTTATATTATTGCAACATAACAAATACATCACAATAACATTTCGACATAACCAAAAATGTTACATTACATCAAAATGTGCGCAAAATAGATGCTCGCGAACAGAATTTGTGTTTGACAATGCAGTAACCATAGCAACCCGAGCAATTTCTGTTTTGGATCAAGACGTAAAATCGAAGTATTGTATTTTTTTTTATTATACACAATTTATTTAATTGTTTTTTCTTTTTATTATACACATTTAATTTAATTTGTTATATTATTTAAACATCACAAATACATCACAATAACATTTCGACATAACCAAAAATATTAAATTACATCAAAATGTGCGCAAAATAGATGCTCGCGAACAGAATTTGTGTTTGACAACGCGGTAACCATAGCAACCCGAACGATTTCTGTTTTGGATCGGACGTAAAATCGAAGTATTGTAATTTTGTTTTTATTATACACATAATTTATTTAATTGTTTTTTTTCTTTTTATTATACACATTTAATTTAATTTGTTATATTATTTAAACATCACAAATACATCACAATAACATTTCGACATAACCAAAAATGTTACATTACATCAAAATGTGCGCAAAACAGA